CAGTATATGGGTTGATCAGTATTCAGCTGAATACCAAGAGGGAGCATGTGCAGATTATCGGTGTTCTTTCTCTGTGTATCTCTTCCCTTTATCATTCTCTATTCTGTTTTATACTTTTACTGCCTTGAATCTCCGAGGACACTCAGCTTTGTCTGCTCAGCTCAGAGAATTTGCCAGGCTTTGCCTTGGTTTTCCCTTCCTGTGTCATGGCCTGGAAAATCTCTTATGGTGGTAAGCTGGGGCTATCAAAAGGGTAATCCTTGTTTTTTGGAGGGGGGGACCATTTCTCAGGGATTACTGACCTTCATTGCCTAACATCCAGTGCCTTACAACCGTTTTTGCATTTATTTGGTATGTTTTTTGGTTTCAGGTAGGAAAGGAATCTGGTCTCTGTTACTCTGCCTTGGTTGAAAGCAAATTAGAACTTTAAATAAGACTTACTGAGTTCAACGATAATAAAATGGAAATAAAACATTGCCAATAGTTTACAATAGCAACCATATGCAGCCACGTTCCTTGTCTATAACCCTGCTGTAGCACCCAACCTTGGGTCCACACAGCAGTGGCTAGGTTTGCTTCCCTTCCACCTGCCATAATAAGGTTTTCTTTTAATCATACAAAACATTTTTGGTCCTTGTAGTCAAACTGTCTTGGATATTTTAAAGGAGAGTCTTTACCATTTTTTTTTTTTTTAAACATCTGTGTAAGTTTAGGGTGGAATTGAGATCATCCCCCTCTCTTTCCTGCCAAGTAAAATAATTGTCTGCTAAAAAGTTAAATTCAAGCTTCTACCTCTTCAGAGTTTTCAGATTCAAAATAGCACTTTCCCAATTAAAAACAAATAAAACTAAACCCTGAGTGTTTAGTCTCAGTCTGTGAACCCTATTATATATTGAATCAATGAATATGTACTAATACATGTTATATGTGTATGATATAAACCTTTTACCATGATGTATTTGTATCACTTGGCCAGATCCATATATTAGAAATCTTAATAGAATAATAAACATAATGTCAAGTAAAAGCTGGGGAAATATTTTATCTTTAGTACCTGCCCCTTTTCATTTTGGTTATTCTCTTTTTCATCTGGATATTTTTCTTATACCAGGTTTTCTTTGACCTTTAAGTTTATAATCAATATAATCACTTTTAGAAAGTAGAATTATACTTTTAAATGCAGCAAAGTAACTTGTAAAAGAACCATATAGGAAGCTTTATAAAATAAAGAATATTTTGTAATATGTGTATTTGGCCAACAATTTTTTTGTACTTCTGGAGTTTATTTATTTGATCATATAGTTTGTAGGCCAGATTTTTGTATATTCAGAAATTTTCATCTCTTACACATATATCGGTGTGTAAAAGTTACCTCTATAGATATTTGTAGACTATAGACTCTAGTACCTTATTTTAGCAGGCATTTCATAAGTGTTTTTTTTAACAATTAAAAAAATCCCTTTTTTAGGAAAGGAACTAAATGGACTCAGTAGAAAGAAGTTTTCTGAACCTAGTTCTTGTGGCATTTTCAAGACCTTTAGTAAATTATTTTTATGTATAGAGTGGGATTTCTTGAAGAAAAAATGTAGTTATTTTTATTTGTATGTATTTTAAATGTGAAATTTCCTATTCAGCAAACTTCAAAGTAAAAGCATTATAAGCAAGATTGGGAATGATATTTCAAAAGAGTAGACTCTCCACATGTAGACTTTATAAAACATAGATGCTAATATTGTAGATGGAAAGGAAACTTGTAGCTTTTTTTCTATTTAATTAGGAAAATAACCATTTTCTCCTGTCAGAAATCAATATGATGGTGAATTGGCTAAATTCTATAAACCAGTTGTCGTTATCAATACCTTATCAATACTTGGAACATGTTTCTTTTACCTAGAACATTCCTTTGTATGTCTTCTGACACCTCAGGCAGAGGTAGGTCCTCCTCTGTGTCTCTTAGTACTTTGTACAGGCCTGTACCAGAAACCTGTATCAGTGTTTGATGACTTTCACTTGACTCTGAACTTCTTGGGCTGCAAAAAAACTGTTTCATACTGATATCTATCTCCTGGATACCTAGGATACAGCTGTTTTATAGAGGGAACAACAAATGTTTATCAAAGAAAAGTTGAATAATGTTCATTCACATATTAATTTGGCAATATATAGTCAATGTATTGAATATATGCAACAGAGTAAGCACTATTCTAGATCCTGGGAATGCTGTGGTGACCAGGACCAATGCAACTCTTGCACTTACTAGTTTTTTGATCCAGAAGGAAAGACAGGTTTTGATACAATTTGTTATAATAAATTATGAAGGTTATGGTAGAAAGCATAGAATCTTACTGTAAGACCTATCTTAGTAATGGGGGGTCCAAGCTTCCCATAGGAAGTGATGTTTAACTTAAGACCAGAGTGTGGGCTGAAACCAGCTGAAAAGGGTTACGAATATTGAGGAAATTAGGGACAAGTCCAGCAATAAGAATTTAAGTTATAGCATCTTTATTAATGTATTTTGGGGGTGACATTTCTCCTTCCAACAGAGCTACCTGACTGGCTTTTCATATTCCCTTAACAAAGACAAGAATATAATAATTGTTTAAATGATCTCTTTCTGAATATGGCTCTTCAGCCAGTTGTTCAACATTCTAACATTTTTAGAGTAAAAAATATGTAATTTTTGGATATATATTTAGTTTTAGTATGTGAAGTCAAAGACAGTATTCTAAAGAGGCTATTATAACTTTCCAAGTCAGAATCACAACAATAAAAAATTAATCTTTTTTTGCAGGCATTCATCTGCTTTTTAAATTTTGGAGGTCAGTATACCTTTTCACAGTCTTATAGCAGCAATTCTGACTTGCAGAGAAGCACATGAAAATCACCCACCTATTGGTCTTAAAAATTTACCATCTCTATTAGAAAATTTCCCCAAAGTAACAGTTAATCTTTGTTGAGTGCTTTCCATGTTTAAATACTGCGCTAAATATATTATATGAACTATCTCATCTAAGCATCCAAGAGACACTGTGAGATAAATCATATTTTTACCCCTTTCTCTAGATAAAGACATTGAAGGCATTTAGTGTCCAGGGTCCCAGAACTAGATGGGGCATATAAGAATTTGATCTCAGAAGTATCTAGAGTCATAGTTCCTCACTTGGTATTGCTAAAGAGATCTAAATGAGACATACTAACATGTTGAGACAGTCTTAGACCCTCCTCACAAGTTTTGTCAATTATAAGAAACAGTATTCTTTATTTTATTTAGTAAAATAATTGATTCAATTTTCTTTATGCTAAGGTTCATGAGTCAATGAAAACTAAAATATTTACGGATGTAATCCATAAACGGATAAGACAGACCCTTTTGTATATTTTTGATGGGATGACTGTATTTTGGAGAATTTTGTGGCAATATGTAACAAAACTTAAAATTCATTTGCCTGTTGACTCAGGAATTCTACTTTTAGGAATTTATCCTATGGCTAAACTTGTTCGTGCATGTAAAGATATATGTCCTGGGCATTCTCTATAGTATTATATGAAATAGGAAAAAGTTGGAAATGACTTATGTGTTCATTAAGGGCCTGGTAAAATAAGTTACAGTGTATCAATGAAATATGCCTTATGTACTCTTATTTCATACTCATAAAATAGTAGTTATTATTATTAATTTTAAAAAGAAGAAAATGAAGAGTAATGATGTTAAGTGACTTGATTAAGATACTAGGACAGAGACATTGAAGCAGTCTGGCTCCAGAGTACACACTGTTAATTCTTGTGCTATATTGCCTGCTGATCATCTGTTTCCCAGTGTGAAAGGAAAATAAATTGATAAGCAAGAAGAAATTATAGAAAATCTCTCTAGTAGGATACTACTTGTTAAAGGCTCTATATTTTTATCTTCTCTCCTTATAACATATACAATAACTATGTTTTCTTATTAAATCTCTCTTTATAAAACATATATTTGTATATATGAATGTATATGAATATATTCAGAAAACATACATATATAAAACATGTATACATTTATGTATATAAAACATATGTATCTATATATACTTATACACATAAATCATACATTCATGTAAAAATTTCTGGACAGATACAAGAGCTGAATAGTTGGTGCTTTGGGGGATTAGTTTGGAGACTTTTAAAATTTTTACTTGATGTTCTTTGGTGTGGTGAATTATTTAAAAGTAATGGACATGTATTATAATACTTTTATAATAAAAATAAATTTAGATTTAAAAACTTTAAAAAAATAGTGGATGTGGTAATTATCAATTATGCTATTGGATGGGAGTAAAGAGAGATTTTTATTAAATGTTTTCATTTTATACTCTTCTGAACTGGGAACGTAAAATAATGAATGAATACATATTTAATAACAAGATATATTTTAAATGAAAAGCCATTAAAAATAGTGAACACAATATTCTTTAACAATTATGCACTATGAAGTACTATTTCTGTGACTAAATCTAGGATATAGTTTATTCATTATATTGACAGTTTAGAATAAATTTGCCTATGTTAAACTTTTATCAGAGAGCTGCAGTCTTATTATCTTAAAGACTACCTCTTTTCTAACATCCATTGAGTTACTTTCCAACTCAATAAAGATTTACCTTGTTTTTATAAGCAGGATTGTTTATGATTGAAGCTTTAGCAATAAAACCTTTTACAAGAAACGAGATTCAGCAAAAGCAGAAGTTGACAGCAATTTTACTAGATGTTCCTAGTCAATTGAGCACAATTTTCTTGCAGGAAAATGATATCATGCTTCTTAATTCCAGAATATTTGTCAGAAACAAATGTTAATTTGAAACTGCATTGTTTATTGAGAAACCATGTGTTGACAGTTGTCAACTGACAATATTTTTATATTATGCTTAGTCTTGGAATTTACTTGGAATTAGGTTAGCTGATAAATTCTGAAATAGGCATAGTTGAAACTTAAAGTATAACTTATTTGGGGTTGTATTTTTCAGGTGAAGCTCTGAAAGTATCAGCTGAGAGATTTACAGATGACCCCTGTTTTCTCCCAAAAAGGGAGGCTGTGGTTCAAGCTGCCCGTGCCTTGCTGGCTGCAGTGACGAGACTCCTTATCCTTGCGGACATGATTGATGTCATGTGCCTCTTGCAACATGTGTCAGCTGTAAGTAAAAGATGGTTTAGTTTACCTTGGCATTGTCTTCACTTCTAATTTCATTCTCTGAACCTGGCGTCGATCCTAGTGCATCTTGGCTTCACTCTCATTTCTTAACATCACCCCTTCAGAAGCAGACTAGACTGGGTTGTGAAGACTAATGTATACCTCAAAATAAGGAAGCCAGAGTTAGTTCTAAAGCCAATGGGAAATTAAACAAAAGATGGCTTGCTTATAAGGAAATGGCTAGGAAAAGTTATAGACTTTTGATCACTTAAATAACTATGCTCTCTATAAATAAATAACATCATTTAAATAACTATGCTCTCTATAAATAAATAACATCATTATATAGATAATATATAATAAACATATGAGTATAAATGACTTGAAAAATAGAAAAAGCTTAAGACATTTGGAAATTTATCCTGGTTTGTAAATGAATTCTACTTTGCCACGTCCTCTTGATTCAGGATAAAGAGTGCATGTTTACAGGTAGTTTGTGATGTCTGTAGTAATCCATTAGGAAAACGTAGACATGTATTTAATACAAGTAAATAATGCACATTAACTAGTATGGTACAAAGTTAGCAAGATATCCTGAATGCTTTATTTTTTCAGACAAACCCACTTAGCACATTTTTAGTAGAAAGAGAATTTTATTAAAGTCTGTTTTCTTAGTTTGACCAGATCATTAGTAGTGTTCAGATGAAAAGGTTGCAAAGAACTCTTTTTATATCTGTTGTATTTTCTGCTTGAAAAGGACCCTTATACTCTGTCTATAAATACATCTGCATTTTCATAAAGTGTCTGTGATTTTACTATCACTACTCTATTAAGCAAACAATGGTCTTATTTGATTAACCTTCTTGTCAAAATAATTTTCTCTAACTGCTAAACTAAACCTTTCTTTGCATCTTTCTTTTTGTCTTTGTCTTTGTCTTTTTCTTTTCTTTTTTTCTTTTTTTTTTTTGAGATGGAGTCTCACATTTTCGCCCAGGCTGGAGTGCAATGGTCATCTTGGCTCACTGCAATCTCTGCCTCCCGGGTTCATGCAATTCTCTGGCCTTAGCCTCCCAAATAGCTGGGATTACAGGCACACACCACCATGCCTGGCTAATTTTTTGTATTATTTACTTCTAGTAGAGATGGGGTTTCACTCTGTTGGCCAGGCTGGTCTCGAACTCCTGACCTCATGATCCTCTCACCTTGGCCTCCCAAAGTGCTGAGATTACAGGTGTGAGCCAATACACCTGGCCATATCTTTCTTGTATTCACTATTGCTTATTTTAACACTAGAGTGACCCTCTCTTTGTACTTCCATTTTTTTCTTTTGATAGTTTTATTACCATAAAAACAGCAATTCAATCCCTTTTTTTTTTTTTTTTTTTTTTTAGTTTAAGTAGCTTTAGGAAAGGGGGTGTTCTTATACTAGCAGCTGTTTACTAGAAGTTTGTAGGTGGTATAATTGAGCAAAAGGGTTTCTGTTAGTTGGTTCTTGGTTTGTTGAGTAACCATAGACAAATTACAGACTGATAGTTTTATTACAATCAAAAAGAGCAATTAGATCCTTTTTTTTAGTTTAAGTAGCTTTTTAGGAAAGGTGTTTTCATCATTTTTTTTTTTTTTAGTTTAAGTAGCTTTTTAGGAAAGGGAATTGTTTTCATCACCAGCAGCTGTTTAGTAGTGGATTTGTAGGTGACATAATTGAGCAAAGGTTTCTGTTACTTGCTTCTTGGTTTGTTTAATAACCATAGACAAATTACTGAACATTTCTGAGATTCATTTGTCTCATGTTTGAATACAGACACTAACAAATGCTGTAAAAAAGAAATGGGTACAAAAGATTAAGTGGCAGGTAATTCCTAGTTCCAGTGACGTGGTAATACCTAGTTCCAATGACCCAATAATTCCTGTTTTAGACTCTAGATTTGTTGAGATAGGGCAGAATGCAGGACTTTTGTAATATGAAAACTGCCACCTTCATAACCAATTAGGAAGTAACTGTATATAAAGAATAAAACCACCTTCACTACCATTTTAGTTGAGTGTCCACTAGGAGTTAGGCACGGAGGTAGGTAATTCACCTACATTATGCCATGCAAATGAACCAGGATGGCATTGTAGATCAAACAAAAGCAAAGTACCTCTTGCAGTAAAAATTAGAGTTAATATTTATTGGGTTTTTATAATGTACCAAACACTGTGCTGGATTATCTCTTTTAATTCAATTCTTATGACAGCCCTATGATCATGATTTCTATTTAACACATGAGAAAACTGAGGCACATTGAATTTAAGTAACTTGCTCAAGGCAACAGGAAAGAATTAAAACTTTTGGAGCTTACTACCCTAATAGTTAGAACAGCTTTAACTACAAACAGCTTTTAAAAGTTTTGGCAAATTCATGGACCTACAACCAGTTGTTAAAGTAAGTTAGATATGCCAGAAGGTGTTTTAAATTCTAACCATCCTCTCTCACACTTAGAGCCTGAATTTCAACTAGATTATATGTCACATATAAGTATGTGTAGTAAAACAGTGATATGTTATGAAAAAGGAAGTGGCATCTTATCAAAGAGAAGGGAACATCTTTTGTGATAAATTATGATAGTTTTTCATGGTTTCATCCTCACGAAAAGTTTATATATGAATCATATTATCAACTCAATTTTTTCAAGACTTCATGTAGAATGAAAACCACTAAATTGTTTTTGAGATCATCAAGATTAGAATTATTTAGCCCAACATTTCCCCAAAAGTATTCTGTAGAACATGTCTTGAAAATATGGAAAAGGAAAAAAGTTGTTTCTTTTTGTAAGTTATCAATGCTGCACATATAAATTCCCATGAATGTTTTGATGCACATTAGCACATTAAAGTTGTTGAGAAATATTGCCACGAAGAAGCCTGTTTAACTCTGCTTAACTCAGAATTTCCCAAATGTTTTTGACCCCAGAACTCTTCCATAGTATATTAATCCTGGGACTTTCTGAAACCATACTTTGGGAAATGTCAGTTTGGAATTTTTCTGATAATGTTTATGATAATATTAGCTTCTACTTGGAATCAAAAGAATCATAGTGGAGAAACTTCAGTGCCCTTACAGTTTGATATTTTACATGAAGTAGAAAGACTCTCTGATAATATGCAGTATATGCAACTGCCTAACAGTAGATGATCACTAACAATGATAACAATCTCAATTTTCTCAGACAGTGAAGCTGATTTTGGACAATTCTAATTGTTGGAGACATATTTCTCAAACTGAGCTTAAAACTGCCTCCCTGCTATTTCAAATAGTGGGTCTAGTTTTGCTTTCTGGAGCAACACAGAATCAAGGCAATAGAAAAAGCTCTTTTCAAATAACTGATGATTACTCTTGGGACTTACCTATGTCTCCCCTTTTCTAGGCTGAAAATTTTTTGACTTTTGAATGTTCCTTATATGGTAGTTCCAGACCACTCTAAATACCATAGAATTTCTATGTGTTTTTCAAATTGACTTATCTTTCTTTGTATGACTTTTAGTTTCCTGCTGAAATTTTCAGTCTTTATTTTGATCTACTCGACATGGTGAGCAGAACTGTCTGATCCAGAAGGTTTGAGAACTCTGGTGTTTGGATTCCCGGGGTGCCTGCTTCTGCTATCATTTTCCTTGCTTTTGCTCATGGTGTCTTGACTTAGAATGTGAATGGCTATTTTTGATTGGATACTGAACATTGCCTCTTCTGAAACCCATTTCAGGTAATTTCTCACTGCCTTATTAGCTCTTTGATGTTTTTAAGATGAGTTGTTTTATCATCAAACCTTATTTGTTTCCTTCAGCAGAGGATCAGACTGAATTTCTAATTTGCCATTACAAGAAATAGAAGTCCCCCAATCATCTCTGTAAATCCTTTTCTATGCACTCTGGATTGTAGGTAACTTCCATAAAATGTTGAAATCAATGTCTTGAAATCAAAACAAACTCTCTGATGTGAACATTCTGTGATATAAATGTACAATTGCATCCCTGATTTAATGTCTAACATGATCTTACCTATCACAATAGCCTTGTCATGTTGTTGGTTCATATTGATTTTGAAAACAATTAAAACCTCCAACTCTCTGAGCTCAAACTACTCCTAATCCAGGTCTTCCTCCTCTGATACTAGTTTTTAAAAAAATATGTAAAGGTAGAAGTTACATTTATATTCATTGAACTTTATCTTATTAATTCTAGCTTTTTGTTATAGTTCATCAGGATCCTTTGACTCTCGATTTTGTCTTCCTTTCCTAACCTTATATCATTTTCAAATTTAGTCACGAAAAATTGTTTAATGACATGGAAAACAGTATATCTTTCTTTTAGATAGTATCAATCAAATATGAACACCCTTTGAGTAAAGTTGTTGAAATGAGCTTCAAGCTTGCTTCATTGGGCTGCTGTATAAACCATGCTTCTTTATTTCTTCCTTTTTTTTTTTTTCGTCACTCAAATTTTATTGTGTACAACATTATCTAACAAAAATTCTATTTGCTTTATATTAAATATAAAATAAGAATTCATAATGAAACAAAACCTACCCAGAGATACATTCTCATCATTGATTTAGAACTGAACGTCTTTACAATTCAAAACTTTAGAGGTTCAAACAATGATAGTTAAGTACTACATATATGGGGTACAAATTACAATGGAAAACAGCAATGATTTCCTCATAAAAGCTGTAAGTTCTTAATTATAAATAGAGATAATAAATGCTTCACATGAAATATCATACAATGAACTATCATAAAATATGCATACATTATATATGTGAAATATACTCAGCTTCATAATTTATGGTCAATGTTGTTATTCATACACATATACACCCATATATATATATACACACACACATATATACATAAAAGAGTGTTCTAGGTATCTTTTGAAATTACTCAAGCACATACGCTATGGAAAAACCGATAGAAATATACAATGTTTCAGACACCATTAGTTTATTTTCTGCTAGAAGACACACG